ACGGCCGTGCGTACATAAAGATTTTGTTCATGATGGCTCAATAGGAATTAGGTAGGACTAGCGCGCGCGCTATGTTATAACAATGTTTAATTTCAATTACCATACTCATTTTGCTTATTCGGGATATCGCCAAAACCTTCTCATATAACAATATAACCTAGTGATTAAGAAACGAGGCGCCAAATCAAATCCGCTTGCCAGCACTAATCTGCTAGCAGTTTATTAGTGACCTACCTTAGCAAATGCTACGTGTCCCATCCAACTGGTGTTTTGAATTTCCCACATTCAGAGTTAAGAATAGCCGCAGTGATTCAAGAACGCACCTTTTGACAAAGAAACTGTTCACCTTCAGCCCCAAGTAGAACGTTAATCTATTCTCAACGGAAGTTTCTTTCGGACACAAACAGATGCTCTATAAACACTGGCCTCACTGTACGGAAGAACAAAGAAAAAAGTGGTTTTCGGACGTTTTGTAAAGGTAGCAGTACGCACCGATAAAATTAGTCTTGAATTCGTTGTTTCTTATGTAACTCGATTTATTAGCTGCATTAAAAAAAAAAATTCTTTCGGTTTTGTTCGATTGATAACTCAGGTGTCGACCACACAAAACTAGACAGGTGAAAATCATGCCTATTGCGATACCCTGCTGGGAGGAGGGAGATACTGAGAGTATCAAGTAACAAAACAGGAGAAATTTATCGTAGACGGCCTCTCGAGACATCTGTTTTGCTCCTTGAACTAATATCTACTTCTTACAGATCCTTTTAGTGACAACGTAGAGTTTACTAATAGGAGGATCGATTCAGGGGATTTGCGAGCATGTGAGCAGTGCGTTTAGTTTTGCGAGCGCTTTAGAAACTACAAATGGCGAGCAATGAGCACTTCGTAAATTTTTCGCTAGCCGGAATCTCTCCTTTATTAGAAGGAAAGGTTGTTTTGCACCAAGTAATCCAACACGTATTTCGAGTTTCGGATTCCATGATCGGCAAACTTGTTTCAAGTTGATTGACTGAAAAAGATTCAACGCAATGAAAATTCATTCGGAGGCTTCTAGGGTCTAGCCAATGGCAGTCATACAGATCTGACAAGCTCTGAACGTCTATTAGTAATAGTAATATTCCTCATGTCCTTATGTCTCTAAGTTCCTTTCTACCTCTGCGGGTGCCTTTCGTGAGAATTCTTACGCGCGTGAACGTAAGTTATGGTAATAAGACTGAGCGGAGTCCAACTCGGTCTGTTATCGTAAGAGTGATAACAAAATCGGACGACCGTGCAGCGGGAGTCCGATTTGTTTATCCCATTTATGATTACAGACCGAATTGGACAACACGAGGTCTTATTACCAATTAATCATAAAAATTACAATTTCCGAGAAAAGAAGAATAGCCAAGTTATGAAAGAAAGGGAAAATTTGCATTAAAATACCTACAACGGAGATGTAAACATTCTAAGGCCACCGCACCTCCTTCCGGTAATTAGGCGCCAAAAACACAAAAGTAAGCGCGTGCACCCACGCATGCACGTAACTACAACTTTGAATGTAATTGGCTCATTGAACTGTTAAATAACAAACTGTCTAATAACAAACTGTCCGATAGCAACTTGGCAAGTGAATTAGTAGAAAATACGAGTTGTTTAAACCAATCACAATCGAAGAAATTGTAATTTTTATGATTAAACGAGGAAGCTTGTTTCCAGAATAAATGTTTTCAGAAGCATTTCACAGCGCGCATATCTTACCAACGTTTCCAAGTTTCACAAAACTGGAAACATTGTTTCCAGCGTCAATTTTGGTTCCAAGATGCAAATTATGCTTCCGCTACACGACAGAGAATCTTAACAAAAATCTGAGCATGCGAGCAGCTGTAAAACGTTTTTGAGCACGAGCAAGCGAGCACTCATCTAATTTTTGCGAGCAATTCGAGCAAAGGCTCAATTATGCAAGTACTTTTAACCTGAATGGGACCAATTAATACCCCTACTAAGAAAATCGCAATTTGCTATATTTTTTTT